AGAAGGCTGCAGGGTGACCTCATTGCAGCCTTTCAGTACCTACAGGGAGCCTACAAACAGGAGGGGAATCACCTCTTTAAAAGGGTAGATAACTGCAGGACAAGGGGAAATGATTTGAAATTGAGGGAGGGCAGACTGAGGTTGGATGTCAGAGGGAAGTTCTTTGCTCTGAGAGTGGTGAGGTGCGGGAACAGCTGCCCAGAGAGGCTGTGGATGCCCCGTCCATCCCTGGAGGTGTTCAAAGCCAGGTTGGATGGGGCCCTGGGCAGCCTGGTTTGGTATTAAATGGGGAGATTGGTGGCCCTGCATGTGGCAGAGGGGTTGGAGCTTCATGATCCTTGAGGTCCCTTCCAACCCTGGCCATTCTGTGATTCTGTGATTCTGTGAGATTCTTCTTGGTCCTCCTCTTACTATTGATATATTTGTAAAAGAGTGTCTTGTTCCTTTTTACTCCAGCGACCAGGTTAAGTTCAAGCTGGACTTTTGCCTTTCTAATTTTCACTCTGCAGATGTAAAGAACTCCACTGAGGCTTCAATTTCTTGGCTCTATTTCTGCTTTTCATTCAAAGCATGAGTAGGTGGCTGGTCAGAAATAAATCCAGAAGATTGCCTTGATAAATTCACAGCCTAAGACTGGGCAATGTGTTTGAAAGTTGACTGATGTGCAAACCTCCGTGTGTTGTATCTCTTCTAACATGATGAAAATATTGTTCCTTTGTTTTAACAGTGGTTTGTATCTTACCTCCCAATAAGCAGAGTCATCAAAGCAGTTCTGGTCAGATACCTGTCCCCAGATGGGCAGCTTTAGAATAGCACCTGCAGATAAAAAGACCTCAGAAGTTGAAAAAAACTATGTCCAAACATACATTCTTCAGATATGTCCTAGAATAGAATTACAGACTCGTAGAATCACCAAGGTTGGAAAATATCTCCAAGGTCATCCAGTCCAATTATCCACCTACCACCAACATTTCCTCACTAAATCATGTCCTTTAGTACAACTTCAGGACTAAGGAAGGCACCACTGTCAAGCTTTTGGGAGGAAATATGTTATAGTGGTTTAGTTAACAATATTAAAAGAAATCACTAAAATATCTCAGCCCGTTCTTCTCTATATACAAAGCAAAAAAGATGGGAAGTATGGTTGAGATCCCAATGGATACGGGCCAGGCATGGCTCTCATGTAAATCCTGTGCTGTATCTACCAGTCCACTACGGATGTCTCAGACACCCTAATGTAGAATGAGACATCTATATAAGAGTAACAGAATCACATGAAAACATGGGACACCTAATGGGTCATGAGTTAATCTCAAACTAGTTTCTGCTCAGCATTTTAAGTTTCTGAATCTAGAGCAGAACTTCAACTGGAGCAACAGTTGTGGTTTTTATATACAAACCAGTGCCTTTGAAGTATATATTCAGCAAGGTATCTAGCTGCTGTTTGAAGACTGGTTGAGAAACTGCCTTTTCCATATTCAAGATTCTGCCAGTGTGCTATCATGACTTACTCATTTCTATCTTTCCATTTTCTAGTTTTCTTGTGAAATTATTGATAGATTGAAATTCTCCACGAGCCCATCTCTAACACCATATATATATTTCAACTGCTGTGTGCAGTTGTGAACTGTGTATGTGAACTGTATGTGAACTGACCTGTCAGTGCTCCACCAAGCAGTGCAATTCCAATTGTGCTGCCCAAGGCAGCAGCCTGATTGCCAGCAGTAAGTTGGACACCTCTCCTGAAAAAGACAGAAAAACAAATCAACAGTAAAAACTATGAAAGTACAGAGTGAGGTTTGGCTTAACAACTTTATGTTTGCCCTCTGCTGGACAGAACAACTCGTTGGAAAATAACTTTTCATTGCCATAGCCACTGCAGAAGACATGTGGGACTGCCTGTACTTTGGTTTTGTTTTGGATTACAGTTTAACACAAGTTCTTTGAAAAGGTTACTAACATGTTCTCAGTCTTCATAAAATGTTTTCCTTTGTCAAAAAGACTAACATTCCATCTTCTGCTGGTCTTCTTAAGAGAATGGAAATGGCCCATTTTGTTGATTGGTGTTTTTCTTGGAAGTCTTACTGTTGCCTGAGGTGTGGTTGTAGAAGCAGGAGAATGACTTTTCTACTCTGAAGGGTGATTTATTTATTTTTTTAACAACTGTTTAAAATTTTTATCTGATCTTTGAATGTGAAACAAGCTTTGCATATAAACCATGTTAATGCAGGATACCAAGAACAGTCCCATTTAAATCAGAATCAGAATCATAGAATCATAGAATCATAGGATCAGAATTGCTCAGGTTGGAAAACACCTTAAAGATCATCCACAACTACAACCCAACCATCCTACCCTAACAACTCTCCGCTAAGTCATGGTCCTGAGCACCACATCCAAATGGTTTTTAAACACATCCAGGGATGGTGACTCAACCACCTCCCTGGGCAGCCTATTCCAATGCTCAGTGTTTCAGAACACTGATCTGAAATCCAATCAAAGGTGAATTTCAAAGAATCACAGAACTGTAGGGGTTGGAAGGGACTTCTGGGAGTTATCTAGTTCAACCCCTGTGAAAGCAGTTCCCTACAGTAGGTTTTCTGAAAATAAATCATAATTAGATGCAAGGAGAGTGAAAAATTAAAACAGGCCTTCAGTAAAGGTAACTTCTTTATCTTTTCTGAGTATTACTTACTTAGTTTCAGATTGTACTGCAGTTACTATGATGCCAGCAATGCCTCCCAGTATTCCAGGTAAGCCATGTAAATTATGGACTCCACATGTGTCTTGAATTTTCAGCTTGGATGCCAAAACAGGCTGAAATGAGGGGAAATATAAATTTCATGGTGAGTTTAATCTCCACTCTGTCAAGAACGATATGGAAAAGAAAGTGACAGAGAAGACCAAGAAATGATTTGACACTTCAGATATACAAAGCATACCCTTGGAATCAGCTATTTTCCCTTTCACTGTGAAATTATACAAGGAGAGAAAATCAAGTGAGTACCTCTAATGCCACAGATGTCCAAGTTACCATCATAAGTATAGCACTACAGAACACAGAATGTCAGTGATGTTCCCAATGTTATCTCATAAGAGTATATTTTAATCACATGCATTTCAAAATAATAGTTTGAAAATAATAGAGAATTTACTCTCTGTAGTTTATCAGCCAGTTTCTTTCTATTAAAGAAAGCAAGCTCCAGTGAAGTTGGTGAAGCAGTATGTAGGTGGGAGCAGAGGTAGGTCCTGGATACTTACAGTCAGGAAGCGGAACCCAAGGACAGAGACGATCCCAGCGATGCTCCCAATACACATAGCAACAAAAGGGTATATTGTCAGGTCAGCACAGGTACCCACTGCTACTCCTCCTGCCAGGGTGGCATTTTGAATGAGAACCTGCGCAGTGTAAAACCATGAAGCTATTAGACATGGAACAGAGGTTTGTTTTGGGGCTGAATGACTTGTAAGGGATTTTTGCAATGAAAAACAATCAGGAATTTAAAACAGAGTTCCCTGTTACAAGTTGAGGGTGTTGGTTCAAAGCAGTTCTAAGCCAGTTGACCTCTTTTGGGTATTGCAAAAGAAAAACTCAGACAAGACCATCTTATGAATAAGACCCAAATGTCCTTCTTAATGAATCAATGTCAGCAGGTTCTGCAGATGAGAGAGTGGAACCATCCTGATAGTAGGTAAGAGCACTCTACTCTTCCCACGTGGGAACCAAATTACGTACATAAAGCAGAGAGGGTTGACTCAGAGTGCAATATGACGTTGCAGCTTTCTGAAGCATAACAGCCCTAGTGCAGGGGTTCCAGCTAGCTCATGGACACTGGGAACCAATCTAATCATCTGTATTATAGGGGATTTCTTGATTTAGTAGAGGTAGTGGTAGGACTCTTACCATACTGAATTTGCCTCTTTCGTCCAGCAGGCTGGAGAGGAGAAATGTTATAACAGTACATGCTGCCAGGGCGTAGTAAGTGTTGATAATTGTTTTAATCTTGTCACTTTCATCTGCAATTGCAGAATTAAAACTGGGCCAAAAAAGCCAAAGGAACAGGGTACCTGGATGGGTAAAAGTCAAAACAAAATGAAAACAATTTGGTCAGAAGAGGTGTTTCACTGTGAAAGATCCAATATAACAGCACTAAGTACAAGAAATGAGAAAGATGGTCAATGAAAATGTAAAATAACTAAAAATTCTGGAAGAAATAGCAGACAGTGCAGAAGCTTTTGACTCTGGCAGTTGGAATTTTGATGTATTCTGACAAATCTTACTGTAAGACTTTTTAACATATTGCAACCCCTCACCATGCCTCACAAACCATTAGAGCTCACTATCACTGTGAAAACGCCAGAGCAGGATGCATTAGTGAGGGAGTTCACGTGTAAATCTTTGGTCATTTATTGATAGATCTGATAGCTTACAATTATAAATTGATCTGTGAATAGATCTCGTGGGCGGATGGATGAAAACCCAACTCAACACCCATGTGGTTTCTAACATTCAGTAGCATAATAATAGGTGATTATAAAAAACATATGGATGAAGGGGGGGTAGAAGTCTCTTCATCTCTCAGTATGACTTTGCTGTGCTTCTTTTACTTACCGATCATGGCAAATATGTCTGAGTGATAGGTAGATTCCTCATTTTCATGCTTGTTTTTCAAGCCAGGACGATACAAGATGAGCGTTACAGCCAAACCAAAATAAGCTCCAAAGGCATGGATGGTCATTGAGGCTCCAATATCTGTGGCCTGTATCAGGGATCCGAAATAATAGCACAACATTTACACAGCAAAGAAATGAGGATTTGATTTCCTGCATGACTGGAAACATTACACAGTGAAAACATGTTTACAACAGGAAATTGTGAGAACAGGAAACAATTATTTGTAAGTAGTTGTACCTTAAATATTTCCGTAACTAGATATTCATTGGCTGCAAAGACTGCGATCTCCAAAAACGTCAGGAGGAGCATCTGAACAGGGTTGGTTTTCCCCAGGACTGCTCCAAATGAAATCAAAGCAGTTGCTGTGCTGAAGTCTGCATTTATCATGCTGAAGATGAGAAAACAAATGCAAGCAAACCAACAAGAAATGAGAGAGAAAATCAGCTTAATGGGAGCTGAAATAAAGATGTATTCAAACTTGTTATGTCATTAAATGACAGAGCAGTAAATCTTCAAACAAAAAGTCACAAAGAATCTTCTTTTGTGGATAAAAGTTACATCAGAATTTCCTAGTTGGGTTGTGTGGGCATCTTATAGAAGGCTGAGGAGAAAATGTGGGGAAATTGCCTCCTGCTCAGCTGTCTGAGTTTACAGTCAAAATTTGGAAGAGGTGTGTGTTGAAGATGTCTATCCCTATCCATTTGGGGTGAGGTTTCTTTCAAAATCTTCTGCAAGTTTTCTTAGAAAGCAGAACTGCATACAAGGGAAACATTCTGAGACCCTGCTAGAAGCAAGGTGGATCAATGGAAGAGAGATTAATTGCACCCAGAGGCATTACTTGTGAAGTCCCTTGTTCTAAGGTTGGGCTCCAAACCTTGTGTTAGCACAAATTATTCCTTCCTAAGCAGGAGAAAAATCTCATGTGTGGATTGACAGACTGCTCAAGCCTTTTCTTTCTGACCCCATGGAAGAACAGATCCCTCTGTGTCTGCTGGGTGCAGGAAGGAGCTGCACTACTGCTGAAAATTCTCCTGTTTGCACTGCTCCAGAGATTCAGAGCAGTCTCTCTACATGGCTTATGTTCCACACATAACTTGTCAGCTCAGATTTCATCCTGTATTCCCTTGACCCAGTGCAGCAGGTGCTGCCATTTGGGTGAGAGACAGAAAGATTGACAGCAATGTTCCATCAAAGGTTCATGAGTTTGGAAAACTAATCTCACAGGTTTTGTATCTTTATTCTGATATTTTAAGGGATAGGAGTTTCACTTCTGGAAAATTTCATATGTACCTTTTGATGTCAACAGGAATTTTCTGTCCTTCACCCTTGTGCAAAAATCCTTGCATTAGAGTGCCCCACTGAAGACCAAAGGCAGCAATGAGCATGTTGATACCAACACTGGTGAATCCATATTTCTTCAGAAAGGTCATCAGGAAACCAAATCCAATAAATATCATCACATGGACGTCCTTAAAGACTGAAAGAAGAAAATGTCTGAGTAGACAGCAACTTGAGGGAAGAATATCTAGGGATAAAGAAAGATTTAGCTGAAAACTGAAAGGATTCTACACTTATCAGTGTGACCCATCATCCCACCCTTTCTGACCTGACTGAGTTAGCTGAGTTTTTGGAAAAAATTGGTTGTTTTTATAATCTATCATTATGCAAGGAACACTAGATCTCTATGTGAATAACATTAATATGCCCATAGCTTTCATCTGGACCTGAAGCCACGTGGAACTTCACAGCTTCGTGTCCTTACAGAAAATTCTGCTATCCTTTGAAATAAAGGTTGTTACATCCATCACGTTCTGGCCAACTCCAAAAATGTGCAAGAGGTTTTTTTTTGAGAGTCTACTAGTTGGCATAGGGCAAAAGTATGCTTGTGATTCTTAACAAAGTGCTGTAGAACAGATTGAGTTCTTCAGCTGCCTACTTTGAATTTAACAGTTTATATATGGCCTTAAATGTCTTAATGTTGCTAAGTAGCATTAACTTAGCCCTCCTTCAAATATGATTTTTCTTTCAAATATCAACATTGTTGATAGTCCTTCTTTGAACTTTTTTTAATTTTTAGAATTTTTAATGATTTTTATATAAACTAAATTTATCACCATAGAACCATAGAATCACAGAATGGCCTGGGTTGACCAGAATGCTCACCCAGTTCCAACCCCCTGCTGTGTGCAGGTCGCCAACCAGCAGCCCAGGCTGCCCAGAGCCACATCCAGCCTGGCCTTGGATGCCTGCAGGGATGGGGCATCCACAGCCTCCTTGGGCAACCTGTTCCAGTGCCTCACCACAACATGGATATTTTATATTTCAAAATATGTTAGTTAGTCTGAAGAATTTTATGCAATTTAATGAACACTACATCTGCCTGATTTGAACTCACTAATTGCTTTCTTTATTTTTTTTTTTCTGTTAGTAAGAAGCTCAGCAGAGAAAAGCTCATTCTTTCCATTTCTATTTTGCTGATTCTTACATGTAAACACATAGAGAGACTTGAGACATTGACCTGATTATTACAATATTTGACTGCAGTTATATTCCACATTTAGGTGCTTTTGACATTCCTATTGTTTTGCTGTATGTGTTTCTGTGTTTAGCCAAAAGAGGGCCCAGAAGTATAATAAGTTCCTGGAGAGTGTTAATAAACTTTGTTATATTTGTATTCCAGCCCTGAAACGCAAGCATGCCAGTAGTAACATTCTTTACAGTTGTCTACATACATCTAACATTACTGTAGAAATGTGGTAGTTCTCAAACACCCCAACTCTTCAGCTTCTTTTTTAGGCCAAACATTTTCAAATTTATTTCCTGACTTCAATAATTTGAAATTATTTTTGAGGCTCCTGCAGTCTTTTGGGAACTCCCCATTTTCCTCTTTGTTACTGTTTCCAGATCTACTTTTCAAACTCTTGTGTTGTACCTACTACTTGTTTTAAGAGATGTAGAAACAGCAGTGAAAGTTAATATCTGCCTTCGAGCTCAACTGATTTCCTTGCTTCAAAGTGCCTTGCAAGGAAAGGAACAGATATGGCAAGGGCAATACAAACAATGCTAATACAATCTTCCTGATCTTACCAGCAACAATTTTTTTAGTTTCCTTTTGAGTGCAGGATTGCAAACACAACTTAACTTGCCTGTATTCCTATGCCAGAGAAAATTGGTAGGGAATGTTTAGGAAAAGAACCTTATTAAAGTAAATCTTCTGAGTGGTGCTTCTCTGTATGAAGCTTTGTAAAACTTTTTTCTTCTGTTTTTGAAATGATTTTCTATGAGGAACCATTAAGGTCTGTGGGAAAAGGATGGGGGGAAATGGCTTCAAACTTAAAGAGAGTAGATTTAGATTGGATATAAGGGAAAAGTCTTTCAGTGAAAGTGGTGAAGAATTGGCACAGGGTGCCTAGAGATGTGGTATTCGTCTTATTCAGGATTCATGTATTTAACATCTCATTCAATCTTACCTAGATTAGGAGATGTCTGAGTAACCTGACACTACACACGAGCAAAAGAACAGGTTTCAAAAACATCTTGACGGAGGAACTTAATTTTTGCTGTACCCTCCTACGGGGTTTCTTTGTGCTCAGCTCTCACTTGAAGTGTACTATAAGGAATCTTATCCCAGTCCCAAATACGACATGTAATCGATTTCATGAGCTGAGTGAAGACTTCCAACCGATCTAGTTCATTCCTTGTGCTCAAGCTACCTTTTGCACCTTCTGCTAAAGAACAGTAGGTCTAGAATGATTTGAAATGATGAAGAAAGCAAAGGACTTTGAAATAAGCTGTTTCAGTAACTAGTTGTGTTTAACAGAATGTGGTACTTCTATTCTGAGAGGCAGGAAGAGAAATACTGGGAAAAATACTCCAGCAGATCCTGAACAAAGAAACTGCACATGATTTCTGCCGAGGCTGCCAAAGACCAACATACTGATTTCCCTACAAGGTCTATGCATGATACTGAGTCTTAATGCAAATACACTTAAACAGCTATGTGTACACTTAAACTGTAGCTCTGTTCTGCTGAAAGCAGTTACCTTACAAACTTGAAGGAAAGGGGTACAGACTATTTTTAGAAAGAGGAATCATGGGTCTATGGCAATGCATTAAATGCCAGCACTGAAGAAATTCCAAAGGAGTACCTGTGAAATCATCTCAAACCCTTGTCTTCCCATTTTAGTGGCGTAAAACCAAAAGTTGTTCATCCAAGTAACTCTGCCTGTAATAACTTCCTCCAGAAACAGAATGAAAAGGTTTGTTTGGAGAAAAATTTCAGCTAAGCACCCCTTACCTTAATGCAAAACTGTCATTGTCTTCAGTGATTATTTTCATCATTCTAACAAATTTGTCCAAAACCACCAAAAATCTTGGATTTATGGTGCTGAGATATTTAAGGCATACAAATCAGGCCCTGCCTTGCAATTCTGAGAGTGCAAGATGTAACTGGAAGATGTAACTAAACCTGTCTGCTGCAGGTGAAGTTACCATCTCGGGGCTCCTTGGGATAACACGGAAGGAAGTTTGAAGCCATCAGTCTGGGAACTCAGGGAAAGTCTTGACTCAGGATATGTCCCAGTTCACCTACACAACTCTGCCATTAGCTGCCTGCCAGGTGCTTCTGCAAACTGCTCGTGTGCACTTTGCAGATAGGGATGTTTGAGAAGAGGAGGGTCTAGAAGTGAAAATACAGGTGTCAGGACATTCTTCTTCCTTCCAGTTGCTTACCAGGAATTAGATTTACATACTCCTAGGTCATCATCATTAAGTCCAACATCAAGTCGGTGGTGTTTTCTTCTTTTATGTCTATGTTAGTAAACTGAACAGCCCAGAGCCTGTCCTCTGGCCAAAGGGCACATGGCATGGCTTGACTTGTATCTGTACATGCTCTTCCCTCCCAAAGCACCTTTCCCACCTGTGTTGCCTACCACACCTCTGCTTTTTCTAAGCCATGCCTAGGACGAGGTCAAAGTGCTGCTCTACGTGAGCCAGAATCTTGCTAGTGGTTCTGTAGTGTGAACAACTTGGTACAGCATACAGATTACAGCACAGTCATACACTGCCTGTGCAGGAAGGCAGACAGAGGGGACACCAGGCAAACTTTCTGTCATGTTTAAAGAATGAAAGACTTTAGGCAATCCCTAATTTAATAGCTTGCATTTTAGATAGCACAGACATCTCCCTCTGGAAGACCTGAAGTTCAGTAAAAAGGTATCACAGCAGTGTAAATGGCCACTCAAGGCTGTTTAACTGCTACAATAAGCACAAGGATCTCAGGCACCTTTCTTCATTTTACTTGGCAAGGGGAACACCAAGAAAGTATAGGACAAGTTAGTACCAGAGCTGGCAGGTATGACATTCAGAAGAAGGCAATTTTCTGTTTTCTTGTAGGGACAACAGACCTTAATCTGAGTCTGAAGGATACATGACCTAGAAACATCCTTCTGGCTTACTAAATTTTACCAGGATTCCCCACACACTATTGTTCTGTGGCTATATTTGTTGTCATCGTGTTGTTTTGGAGGACAGCCAGAGAAGAGGTAGGCGGAGAGGCATCTTAGGAAATAGTTGTATCATTAGTGCTGCATTAAAATTGTGTAACTGCTCTATAATTACACAGCAATATAACATTAGATATGTATATAGCAACGTGTCGCAGTGCCACAGTACAACTGTCTGGGATGCTCAATTACTGTGCAGTTGTAGCTGTAGCCTGGCTCACGGTGGGCCAGGGATTGTTCCCAGCATGTGCACAACCTGATTCTTTGCCCCAAGGTCTGCTTTCCTTTTCAAGCTATGTTAGTTGATCCCCTAAGTTATTCAGGTTAGGATTAGTTGAAAGCGATTCTAACTTTAGTGAATCTTGGCAGTACTCACACGGATACAAGTCGGTGGTCCCAGGGTTATACTCCACAAATAGCCCAAACAAAATGATGAAGACCACTTCTAGAAGAAGAGCGATGGCCGAGAACTTGAACCTCATGTTGGTGTCAAGGGCTGAAGGCACTGCAGGAGAGCTGGAGGCTGCAAGGACCTGATAAAGGACGCTTGCCTTCAACTGAGCTGCCTAGTTCTGTGGGTCTGGGTGATACAGCCCAAAAAAAATAAAAAAGAGAGACAGGCAAACCAACCGTCACACCCACTATGGGAGGGAAACTGTATGGGCCAATATTGCCACCTCTATTTCCCAGGCTACTTCTGTGTATGAAATACTGGTTTAAATATTTCTCAGTTTGCAAAACAACTCCTTTAGCCACAGATATGTGTTGTGTATTCATATACATATTTTTAACTAAGAAAGTTTAAGCCAAGAAGAAAATCTCACGTAGTCTGATTTGTTGCATGTATTGCAGAACAGAGCTACAGTTGTGTTTCCTGTAGTCCATCTACCTCTCCAGGCTGTAGCTTTCATCTGAACAGTTCAAACTTTTCTCATTTTATGTGAAACATGAATGATCTCCTATTTCTTGATAACAGGATAAGTTGGGAAAAGAGAACTGTGTTTCTATTTCACGGTGAATGAAGTGTGGTTGGTGAGGACACGAGTTCTCATTGTGATCTGCTGTTCTAAAATAAAACAATTCTGTTTCTCCAAAAGAAAGGAAAAAAGAATCTTCCTAGCTGTCAAAACATAAAGCTGTGTTTTTTCAACTTAAATTACTGCTTTTTTAATTTCCTTTGGCGCAGGCAACTAGAAATAATTCAGACACCAGATTTCTTAAATGGTTTTAAAAAACTAAGCTTATCAACTTGCTCATGAATAAAGGAGCTAATTAAATTTCATTAAGATTATGAGAGCGTGGTCACTCATCCTTGAGATTCACATTGATTCTCAAACTTTGTATTGAACCTTAAATGTTTTCTGTTTGGGGGCTAAAATGTTTTATTGATGTGATACTGAACTACTGACTCTGATCAGTCCTTAGTTAGGCCAAAATTGTATGGTAGGAGACTTTATTTCAGGAAAACATCTCCCAGAATAGAGGTTTATTTACATACTTTGCAGCCTTCAGCTCACCAAACCTGAGGTAGGCTTTAGGAATGGTGCCCTGCTCATTCTATACCTGGACTACATTTTCTTGACGGAGCTGTAGTAATCTTAACATAAAATTCCAGGCACTATTCAGCTTTCTAAGTAAAAAGGCCACCTGACTGGACAAAGTTTAAGATTATCTCAGGCCTTTCTTCTTTAAGATGAGCCTGCAGCTTTGGGGATAAATAAGCACATAGCAATCAATAATGGAATCAAACTTCTGTGTAGCAAAGCTGCAGTGAGCATATGCACATTTCTCCTTCGTAGTGACTGTAGATCATTTGAACAGCTCAAAGAAAGGAAGCAGAGCTTTGTTAAAGAGATATTGATCGTTCTTGCTGTGCCACAGGATAAGACAGCCAGCACTGCACGACTGTAAGCAGCTCTGAGCCCTTTCATTTGCACAGGAAGTAATTAAACGAGAACAAAATCACGAATAAAGTTCCTTTTTTTTTTTTTTTTTCTTTTTCTTTTTTTCTTTCTATTTTTTTTTTTTTTTAACCACAGTTCAACCATGAATATCTCTTGTTTTCATTGCATTGTGTTTTTCCAAGTGAATATATGATGTGTGCAATTCTTAAGTTCTTTCAGGGATGCAGAGTCTCCCAGTTGAAATATTATTTGGAAAAGTACTTTTTAATAAGTATTAAACGTTTTATGTGGACCGAATTCTTTTAAGCAGGATTTTCTGAGATTTTTGCTCTATATCTAAAATTTAGTGTAGGTACATAAACACACATACTATAAATATTGTAAAACTATTAATGCATGCCAAAGCTAATCAAGTTTCAGTGCCTTAGTGGTTAATAGGAAATTATGTGCATCTCAAGAAGATGGCAAACCTCATCTCTTTCTATCAGCTGTCTTAGGAAATGATGCATAATGCTTTATAGTATACATTTCTCTTCACTGTTTACAATGGGAAGCTGTATCAAGTACTTCAGGCTTAGACATTGAACTCCTAGAAGCTTGACTGAGGATGGATAAGCCTGGGCTTTTCAGGTAAGAATTACAAGGACTTGAAAAATATATTCTTGTTTGCTCAATTGTAGTCCATTGCAACCTGTGCAGTGGATGGAACAGGGATCTGTTATTTGAGACTACAAACAAAAGCTGTGCTCTAGCACGTATGTGTCAGAAAGCTGATGTAGTAGTGTACCTGGAATATAAAATATGTAAGAATTTATTTTGCAAACTTCATGTTGGCATCTTCATAGGATGTATATAGCTTTCCCCATGACCTTCTTTTGCTTTTGGCTATGTGTGAAGAGAAAGGGAAATTCAATGGTTTTCCCAGTAAGGTGAGCTGGTGTCCAACCAACACATATATATGGCTCTTATACACCCATAAGTCAATTACATATGATTAGGGACACTGAAGATAGTACATTCCAATAGTCACATACTCCAATATCTGTGTTTCATTGATTGTGTTTTGTAAATGGATCCTGATCTTGCAGCCTTACATCGAAGTGGAAACTTTGTCTGTAGGAGGAAGTAGTGCTGATGACGGTGCTGATGGCTGTCTCTGTCATTCCCATCTTTGTCTTTGTCTTGTTTGATATAGCCTTGACAGCTGATGGGAAGCAGCCACCTACAAAACCTCATTTCAAAGTCCAGAAGTAATTACATAGCCATCTCACTGCTGCAGAGTGTAATCAAATTGTACATGTCCCAGAGCAGATAGTCTTCACAGAATCACAGAATTGCCAGGGTTGGAAGGGACCTCAAGGATCATGAATCTCCAACCCCCCAATCCTTCAGCATCTAAAAAATTCCCTTGTGTCCCCCTGTTAGCTTCAGCTCAATCACGACTACTTAAATAGAATGGAAGAATTGAGGGTGCTCTGTGATGAGCATTATGGCACATTTGGATCTATCAACTAACTGGTGTTTGTATTGTACCATGTATTCGTAAAATAGATTTTGGGTTTTACATCCTACTTTTATGCCCTATGTAAAGGTATGGTATTGGTAAGATATCACAGCCTTTATATAAATATGTGAAAAGACTTTAAGTCTTCCAAACAATTCAAAACAAGAGATAAGAAAGTAGTATGAGTGATATCATTACATAAAGAATGAGAAATATTCCAAAAGAATACCCTTGGACAACATTAACAGTGGCAACATTAACATTCATCTGAACAGATATAAACCATTGATTTCTGTGTCTTATCTGTCCAATAGTGCTTCTCTTTCAGAAATACAGAGAAAAGAAATAGGAACTTTCAAGAGCAATTGATTTCACCTTAAAAGAAAATATTTCAGACGGGCTAAATAGACAATTTGGGCTCTTTTGATCACGTTTGATGGCTAATTCAGGCATTACTCAGATTTGGGATGTCTCCTAGAAGAGATCCAACATAGTCTGCTGAACAGCCTGGCACCATTTACAACCCTGAGTTCATCCCATTGAAGTCCGAACTACAAATATTCCCCTTCTGATTGGATGGATTTATGGACTGTGTCTTGAGAGCATGCCAGCCTTCAAACTAGTTGAATAAGGCTTTTTGACATCATTAACATTTATCCCATTTCTTTGGTATCACATTAGTAGACTTCATTAAACATTAACTTTTGCAATGTTTTCAATCAGCACAGTGGAACAAACAGAGCATCCTGAGTTGGAAGGGACCCAACTAGGATCACTGAGTCCTGCTCTTGACACATATTCCATCTCAAGCCAAAAGCTCACCTCCATAAGTGAGCTTTGTCCACGAAGTTCTTAAGTAGCTTCATTCACCTCAAAGGGGAAAGTGACATTGAAGGTTTTTTTTCTGATTTCTTAGATAACAGCAGTATCTTTGCCTTCACTGGATCCATATCACTGTCATTGACTTCACTGTTTTACATTCTGCTTTTACTACAAAAGCACTCTGAAGAAGGACTAAAATAATAAGCAGAAGCTACTGGTTGAGGAGTATCCTGATGCTACAGGAAAGCAGTTTAGAAGAGATAAAGGTGTCCTTGCTCCCTTAAAAATGGGCCAGTTTGAGCTGCTCCTGTGACAAAAAAAATGGGTGAATGCAGGAAGGTAGATGATTTACATGATCCTTAAAGCTTTATTATTATTATTATTATTTTTTCACAAGGAGCAATGAGAAACAGAATAAAACTTTATGTTTGAGACACTTTGTTGATTGAGATTTAGGTTGTGGATGCCCCATCCCTGCAGGCATTCAAGGCCAGGCTGGATGTGGCTCTGGGCAGCCTGGGCTGCTGGTTGGCGACCTGCACACAGCAGGGGGTTGGAACTGGATGAGCATTGCAACCCAGGCCATTCTATGATTCTGTGATTCTATGCTCTTTATAAAAATTGTTCATGAGAAATCACAGGTCTAATAGAGCGTCAAGGAAGTTATGGATTCTTCTGAATTCCCTTTTATCTGACAATCACATTATGTGCAAAACAGTCTTTCAGAACAGCCTCTGGCAACTCTTTCAATGTTCCTCAATCAGTTGAGGTAAAATGAAAGTGGACTTTCAGCTCTGGGGAAAAGTCCTGATCAGCTTTGAAACTACACAATTTCTGTAATGCTGATTTCCTTCACCTTTTCTTGAGAGTAATACCAATTTTCTCTATCAGTTCCTTTCTTCACTGACAAATGTCTCAGCGAAAACAGATTTTTCTAGACATGTGCAAGATGCTTTTCTGTGTTTATGCACAAATGTGGTGCATTGCTTTAACTGTTGATGTGATCAGCTTAGGTCCATCACTTTGTCCATGAGTGTTTTCCTTGAGGAATAATAGCGAATAAAACTGCTATTGAAAGTTAATGAGCCTACAGATGTATGAACTCAAGTAATTTAGCTTCAACAGTACATGCATTCATCTGTTTGCCTTCATTACAATCTCTGTCTTGTGGCTAAAGAAATTTGGATTCCCATCCAGGTTATTCACCTGTTTTCTGTGTTTTTAGGTTTTAAGGCTTCTATTCCATCACTGGGTCTGATTTGCATTTTGATGTTTGCTGAAAACAATATCAACTCATTTCTCCTTTATAAATGCTCCTTCCTATTTACATTT